CACCGCTGTAACTCCTGTACACCAGGATCCACAGCAGTGACCCACGAACACACCGAGTTATGACACTCGGGAAGTCCCAGGAAGAAATTAAACTGTCTTGGAACCCGCAACGAAATTAATCAGAAAAAAATTTAGGATTTGGAATCAATAATGTTATGTGTAGCCAGAATACACAGACTGCTAGTATTTGTGACTTTAAGCAGATAATGCATAGAAAATCTGCAATAATTAGGTCTTACATCCCACATAACTCAGACTCATAATTATTCATTAAATTGAAAATGTTGTTAACAACAAACCAATTACTTGATTATCTAAAATATATTGAATTTCAGTAATCTATGTACAGTACAGTACATGTACAGTACACAGTGACTTACCTACGTATGATTAACTTGATCATTTTCGTACGTGCCTATCCGCCTCTCCCATCAAAGCGATTATCTAAATTATAACTTATTTTGACTTATTTCTTAGCGTTCCTTGGATTTACCTTACGGTTACCGGATCCATCGCGTGATAGATGGGTGCAACACATGCGACTTCGACAGCGCCTGGGGTTGCGACCCAGAAGTGGGTTTAGGGAGTACTCCTTGCCACGCGTCACCGCTCACCTTTACTGTTTGCTGTGTTACCCCTCTGCCTAATTATATTTGATACGAGCCTAGCAATAACGCTTTGGATATTTGTTCAAGAAAAAACTTACTGAAGCTATTGGCAATCCAAGGTCTTTCAGCAGGTCATATCGGGATTTAACAGGTATACCCCTGGCATCCACTTCTACGGCATAGAACGCAACGAAATAACCATTTTTAGTTATTTTGTTAGTTAAGTCAAAGTACTTGTTTCACCTGGTCTTTAGGGATCTTTGTTTTGCACGGTACCGTGAGTTCTACTAGTACTACCTACACGCTTAATTGACATTGCATAAAGAAATATTTTCGGTCTGGACGCCGAGGCACAGATATCCTCCGGTATTCTGTGATGATTTTTATACGTGTCCACTAATAATATCTAGTCACTATCGGTATTTATAATTGAGTACGGCTTTTGTGAAGTCTTTTTTGTTGAGCCTTCCTTTAAAAATCGATGTTAGTTCTTATGTTTGTTGTTATTCCTCTTTTAGCTCTCGCCAGTGATGAACTCAAAGCTTCGCATATGGTTTATAATACCCTGGCCACTTGAATAATGACTCCGGTTTAATAGCGCCTTACAAGCTGTCTGTTACTGCCTGTCTGTACCTATTTCCGTACTTCACATCGTACAAGCCTTAGGTTTTAACCACCTGACTAGGTTGATTGATCGGGGAGAGTTAATTGAAAGGCGTTAAGGTAAAATTTTAATAACCTTGCCTTATATGACCAATTGTATAAGTGTGCGCCTTTAATTCCAAAGCGATTTGTCCCTGTATAAAGTTGACGGGTCTGCAGATAGTACTAGCTCGAGCCATGACTTCAATATCTTAGTGACTTTGCGTCCAGTGTTCTTAAGTGGTTCTGGTTTATATCGTATACCAGAAATGCCCGTTTGAGACGAGATGTTAAGAAGTTGTCGTAAATCTAAGCTTTTTTTCGTTACTAATTGTCTGTTAGTCTACCTTGTCAATGTCTTTTACGAAATCATCGACTATTGCGTTCATAGATAGGGTAGGATACCTTTGTAGTCTATCTTTCTTAGAAGAACAGTTTCTGATATTGTTGAAATACTTTCCCGACAATAGCAAGCCTGGGGACATATGAGGTATATCTGGTACCTCTCCTGCCCAGACAAAGGCAATAACATTTGCTAGGTTTTGTCCTCATTCCCTCCGTCTAGGTATAGAAGTCATCTGCAAATGCTAAGATGGATTCTGTATATTTTCCATTGACCTTAAATCGGTAGCCCCACCTCTTTTCATATGTTGCAAGATTGCCTAATAATATATTTATAACTGTATTTAATACTACTGGTGATTAGCAATAACCTTGGCACAACCCTACCTTATATTCAAGGGGATTTGTATGTCCCTCTTTTGCTGGAACTAAAAATTTTAATTTACTATACTAAATTGGCGAAATATCTGTGTTACACTATTTACTACTGTGTGATCATTTTATATTGTTATTGTATTTACCATAAACCACTTTCTTTCTATCTAACTTGATGAGGTATTTGTAAAATTTTATTGTTCAAAATAAATAGACAAATTGAGGGAATTGAAGCTGAATTCAATCATGTTTTATCTTTATATAAATATTAAAAAATTTAAAATGTGTTTCATACATATTGAACTTTTATGTTTACTCTTATGTTATAACCTGATGTTTTGAAAAAGACAAATGTATGAGAGTGGACATAATTGTTTCAAACATGCCAATTTGTGGTGTTACTAAACACATTGCTAGAGATTATGGTTAAATTGCAACTATTGAGTGACCACCTGTTCTTGTTAATTTCTACAGTCACCACTGGCACCGGGTACTACACCAGATTTCTGACCCCAGACATGCTTTAATATTGTTGGCTAACCTAGCAGTTTGTTAAAATATTATAGGAATAAAAAACATAAGTCAGATTGGCATAACGCATAACAGTGAGTTGGGCATGGCAAAAGAAACACAAGGTAAAATTAATGTTGTGGAAATGCATTCACTGAGAAGTATGTGTAAAGTAAGATTGACTGATAACATGAAGAATGATACGGTAAGTTATGAAACAATATGAAAGAATTGACTAAGGAATCCTGGAACTTGCAAATAGGGTGGCTTGGGTTCGTTCAATTCTAGTATTTTCATATTACTAAGTATCTTAATTTCTCAAAGAACAAACATGAAAAAAACCTTAACAATCCATTATAAATAGTTGCTTATTCATCAGAGACAGATGAGTATAATTAGGACTAGGCTAGTACAATTATTTTTTGACATAAGTTTATTATCAAGCATCTTATCTGAGGTGATTGATAATGAATTCGTGTTGAATAGTATTTTCTATAATTTACTGGACACTCATAAAGTCAGCTGTTTGAAAGACGCTATATCTTAAAACAATTAAGCTTTACATAATTTTGGTATTTGTAAGCCAATTACTACTAAAACCAACATCAAATTTTTATGGTAGGTAAAGATTAACCTCATTAAATATCTACACAATCTTTTAATAAGACTACTTACATCACTCTGCACTTAAAGGTTTTCCTTCATGGCAAACAAGATAGTGACCCAAAAGGGTATGAATCAAGGATGGCCATAATGATTCAATAAAAACAATTTGAAATAAGAAGTAATTTTATGGCTGCTTGCTTATTATTCCAAATTGTTTCAGACCATGATAGTGTGTACAGTCAGTGCAAATAAACATACACCTAATATTTATAGTACATACATTTAGTATCTACATTTAGTGAATCTTTTTGGAAGGACCATTTGAATTTCCAGAAATCTCACCCTGCCTTACCTTTACTATTAGTCAAGCTGTCATATTCTATACTTTAAAGATTAATTGGTAAAGAATGTGACTTTGATTTGGTAGATAGGGATAATAATATGCCAGGTCCTTACATCTAATAGTTATTGTCATGTCTTGGAAAGTTAGGCATCATTCAAAACAAACATTCTTTGTGGTATTAAGGCTAGATCAAATGATTCTGTGGTGGGCACGCCCTTCTGTATCTAGATCCTGGGTGAATTTTATATATGATATGTATGTATTAAGAAATATTCCACTATGTTTATCAGCAGTCTGGTTGCTATAGCTCCAGCTTAGACTGATGTGTGTAAGATGTGTGAATTTATTATTATTCTTTCAATTTCATAGTTTTTACAAATTTTCTTAACTTGATGGTGGTACAAACACTACCAGGTACAATGAGTATAAGAGATGGTAATCTTAACATGAGTTTTACTAATAGATATTAGCTGTGAGATTAGATGTAGCCAGCTTATGCATTGAACTACATGAGACTATGATACTGAGTGTAATTACATTACAAAATGTTAATTAGCTTCTGTTGAAGACTGCACATAAAATGTTTATGTTTTTAATTTTGTTGCTTATTAACATACTTTTGCATAACAGTCATTAAGCTTTACTGTGCAAAGTGTGATACATGTATAAATTATGATATAATAATCAAGAGAAAATGGAAGGATAGTTATAGGAATTTCACTTATTGATGTAACCACAAAAGCATGTTATTTTTTTATACTAGTGGAAAGGGGCTATTTAATTTATATTTTTAAATGTCTTGCACTTTTCATTTGGTTAGAAATCTTGTTATAGAAACTGGCAACCTTTTTTTTTATCATTTCTGAAGTCTTATCTATGAGACAATAAAGGAAAAGAGGATTACATAGAAGTTGTCATAGTTGTAATGTTTGATATAAAAAACTAAATTGAAGTATGAGTATATGAGATGATGAGATATATATAATAATGAGTAACAAAAGGTCAATGTGCAAAATATTTTAATCTGATAATATTTTCACATAAATTTTTAAAGGATAGTTAAGAAATTATTCATCTTGTAGTTATCTATTACCTATCTAAGGTATTCAACCATTATTTTATCAGCACATTTATATAAATAACTCAATAATAATTGGTGTTGACATTTAGTAATCAATTTGTAGAACATGATGTTAAATTAATTTTCTAATAGTTACAATTCCTGACTTTGCATTGACTCATACACGACAACCATGTTTACATTTGATGTTCTTTAATTAAAAATTTACTGCTTACATTCTCAATCATTATGCTTTTGTAAGTTTGTTTTTACATATATAGAAGTCAAATGAGTAACTCTCAACACTATATACGTATCTATAGTATATATATAACCAACAAGAAGTATGGGCAAAACAAAGAACTTAGTGATAAATATTAATTATAATTTATTGAATAAATAGGCGAGTGCTTAACATGATTTTTATTTGTCAAGAACGTTTTAGAAATAATAAATGTAAGTGGGTATAACACTAGGAATTCTAGGAAGTGAAAATATAAACGCTGCGTCTTACCTCGCCACTTCGAGCCGCAGGAGAATTTTCTTCGATCTCGTATATAATATGTGGCAAACCGGCTTCGCCAAGCAAAGAGAATCCAAATCCTAAATTGTCACTACGATTCAAAACCACTAGTCTTTCGTCAGCCATATTCAGTGTACAGTAGCATTGATTTATATCCTCCAAAGGATTTTCACAACTTACACTTTTATGAAACTACATTAAGGAATATTTGGAACAGATTTATTTTACTTTAAACTGAAAATATTCATAATTAAAACTCGATGAAAACCAAGCGCACCCAACCAAAGCGAAGACAGGTATACAGGTACAGATAAATAATTATTTTGAAGTTTGATTTGATTGGCTAGAGACGGGATTCGCTCTTTACTTAAGCAAAGTAGCGAAGCGAAATAAAGTATTGAATCGAGTCGGATAATTTTAGCAAGATTACGATGAAACAATAAACCCCACAATCTATTTAAAAGTGCTTATATGAAAAGATGCTCTAAAGTTATAACTTGCATATTTTAATCTAAACTTTTTTGAAGTTTCAATGACGTTTTATTATAATTAGTTTTTATATAAATCAAGATGCTTTTTGAATAAATAAAATTCGAATACATTTCTTTAAAAGTTTAGAAAACTTAACAAAATTAAAATCGAAATCAAAACAGAGCTTTAATAGTAGTAGAGTAGAAAAAATAATTATGTCCATTTCCATGCAATTTAATTTTTTACTTTTTCAGTAAAACAGATATTGTTCTCGGCAGTTATTTGTATACTATGGTTATATAATTCTCTCATGCCAGCCTGGTTTTTCAGTTAAGATTTATTCAGCTGTATATACTGTCGATTGTATATACATATATATTTCCAATATAGGAGAAAGAAAGCAGAAAACCGACTCTTGAGATGAGTGTTGATGAGTAATTATGAGTCTTGAGGACTTGTGCTGTTATATTTTCAGTCATTGATACGTGCCAGGCTTTCAGGCAGGCGTTTCAGGTTAAGATCTCATCAAATTAATAGTATCTAAAATAGTGATGGAAAATCCAAGGAAGCCAAAAAATATAAATGAGGCTTGTTCGTCGTCATTTTTAGGGACTTTGCTAGTTCTAACATTGGCAGCACTTTGCACGATTTGACATCTATTGTAGGCATGCTCGCATCTGTTAAATCGAGTACCTAATAACGATTCCAAGTACTAATGAAACCAAGTATAAAACAGGGCTTATAAATCTGAAATACTTTTCATTTTATTTGTATTCTACAAAGAAAATTGTCGTGAAAAAACTCGTAACGTAATTGCCAAGTCATCAAATTCTAGCCAGCCTACTAAGACGTGAACTCACTCTCAAAACACAAATTAAGCTTAATGAAAGTTAACAAAAATTATCCACATTACTGTTTCGATTAAACGTACCGTAGATAAATGTTCCCTAACATAATCTCGTGTCAATTGTAAATAGATAGTATAAGTTACTTTTACTTCCTAATACACAATGATTTTTAATATATATGTTAGTTCCATATGTAGTTATTTACAAGAATATTTCACTAGATTTTATTGATTTTTGTATCTGTAAGTTAGTCACATAGCTAGTACATATGCTAAGCGTTAGATAGCTAAACTGTACACAACTGATTTTAACACATTTAAGTTGTCATTTTCTTAGCAACTATCAAACAGCTAGATAGATAGATAGATAACTCTTTATTGTACAAAAAAAAACATAATAAAAGAAGAAATCAGTTTGTATACATTGTGAGTCTTATATCTAAAGTTAAATTAATGTAACATGGAGAGTAAAGTGTTAAAATTTATACAATTGGCGGCCTTATCGCGTTTTGCGATCTCTTCCAGGCAACCACTGGATGGAGAAGGAGAATAGGAGTGAGATAGGGGGTTGCAGTTTGTAGATCGGAGTTTTTTGTAAATTAAGACTAACGACTATTTGATTATACAAACTAATTCAAACATATACACTAAACACATACACACATCACTACACAATAAATTCATTACACAAAATACACATTTAACAGAGACTATAGAAGTAAGAGACAGATAAATATAAGATTTCTGACTGAGTGAAGGGACCCTCGCTTAGCAGCTTCGGAAATGCTCCTTAAGCAACGTTTTGAAACAAGGCAGTGTTTGTGCTCGTCTGATGGGCAGTGGCAATGCATTCCACAAGCGTATAAATCGCACTGTAAATGACTTGTCCATAAAAGTCGAGGTGTGCTTCGGCATTTCCAAAGTCAAGCTCTCTGACGATCTTAAGGACTTTGAATGCGTATCACGTAGGAATCTGAAGCGTTCCTTTAAATAAAGGGGAGTGTTGGGATTAAAGAGAATATTGTATAGGTAATAGTGAAAGGATATGAATATTCCGGCTAAGACGAATGGGTAACCTAATGGGTAAGTTAAGCTACATCATGTATGACCGAAATCTTACTGTTGTCAAAAGAGTTTAAACCGTGGAATGTTTTTTTCTAGTTGTATGTACAGTGCAACACAAAAGAGAAGAAATTAAGTGAGGTCACCACTGTCGCTCATGGGGCAACCCAGATAGAAGGACTCAACTCGTTTTGATGCTTGATCTTGTTATTTATTAACTTAAATTTTGATTTTTATTACTTATCGATCTGCTAAAGTTTGCATGCCGATGCCAAACAGTGGTGTGCAAGCAATATATGCATTAAGTTTGATTGGTAATGTTGTTAGAGACTTCTGGACTTAAGGCATTTAAAAGCTTTTATTATTTGAGAGTGACGAATGCAAAAGTTCTTGTTGTCTATATAAAATTGCAATGTTGAACAGCATTGCATTAGTTACAAACAGACTTAACGCTTATACTACGCATTACGAGAAATTCCTACCCGATTCGTTACCTGTGTTAAAAATCACCTGGGATTTGATTTTATAGTTGGTAAAAAATTGAGCAAAAATTAAAACTAATTAAAAATTTACATTACTTTTATAAATTAACATGTGATATTGAACGTCTTCAATCGCATCCAAGTGTGATGCGCTCACGCCTACGTTTGTTGCATCTACTTGCAGTGGCTCTGATATTAATTCGTTACTGGTTCCGACATAAAACTCATCGTCACTACTGATTGCACCAACCTCGATAATTAAATTGTGTATATCATTATCATTAACATGTTCATAGCAGTTCTTCCAATCCTCAGCTGTTATAGAGCTGAATGCTTCTTTGGTTAGTCTTTTACAAAATGTGCAAAACCGTTTTTTTTGCCGGATCGCACATGTGTCAAAGTCATCCAACACTTTCGAAGGTAGACCCTGCCTATGCTGGGCTGGTTTTGAGAATTTTCTACAATTTTTGACACCTTGCTCTAGGATTCTACTTGCTGTGTTCACAGCACAGAAACATCTAGAACGAACAAAACAGTATTAACGTCATGGTGTATACATATTAAGTTAAATGAAGCTTATATTCAATAGACTAGGTTTTGGGTCATAATTTTGTATTTCTACTAGTAGATCTGGCTGAAGAAGTCTCAACTAAATATATTCACCAATGAAAAACTTTTTATTTACATCTAATCCCTTTAAACGAGTATTTTTTGTATCATCATCAATCATCATCAACAGCCTTTACTAGTCCACTGCTGGACATAGGCCTCTTCTTAGAAAGGAGGTTTCGGTCTACTAAACCACACTGGCCAGACGGGTTGGTATAGGGTTTGTTTCAAGTTTTCCTTCTCTTTGCAGTACTGTTGTCCTGCGTAGTTTGCTCCCTCAGTCGACTCTTACGACACCCATATGATGAAGAGGGGTAGTGACATTCTGTATTCCTGTTTTTTGTATATATGTAAATGTATATATATATATAACCAGTCTAATTATGAGTTCACGTAAAATGTAATGACGACTTACGATAACGATTAAACATCTTCAAAGTTGGATAGCAGTTATGCCAGCTTGAAATTCTACCGTACACCGCATAAAAACTTTAGGAAATTAATTCACGAGCACAATCACAAATGTTTTTGGGCACGCTAATTATTTTTTCGTGTCCAAAACAAAGAAAAACTTCAAAAACGTCGAACATATAAACAATAAAACATGTAGATTGTAGGAACGAAGGGATTAACAGCTCATGTACTTTTTTTAAGTGATGCCAACTACTGTCAATACTTTAGTTCCTAAGCATTTAATTTATTTTCCTTTATGTCGTACTGTACATACTACTAATACTAACTAACCACTAAGGCCAAATACTTTTAACGTACTTGAAAGTATTTTACGCAATACTAGGACCATGTACTTGGAAGTTAATTACTTGTGTTGAAAAACATTTATCCGTTATTCCGTAGTCTATGACATTATTGACATTCCATATTCTTATTTCGCATAAATCTTACGTGAAAGGACTTGAAATAGATCAAGAAGTGTATTAGTGTTCTGACTAAGAAAAATCGGAGAATAAGAAACGGCTGTGTGGCAGTGACCTCAAGTCTTTCAAATATTTAAAAAACTCCGAAATGTATTTTATTTCAAGTTTAATTAAAGTTAGTATCCCAAATTATTTGGCGAGTCTCCCTATTCCTGATAGCATCGGAGGATGGTTTCACCTTGGAGGTAATAACTCAGTAATATAGAAACAATGATTATGTTTTGGTTTTAGTATCTAATTCTACTATTCATCTCTAAATACCTTTTAGTTAACTACCTAAAGTTAACCTAACTCTAACTGTATACTTACATTCACTTAAAAAACAATTAATTTCATTGTACGCGATTGTAAGCTTTATGCTCGTGGTTATAGTGTTGTTAATCGCGTAATTCAACATTAATATTTTTTATAGAATTCTCACAACTAGGTATTTAATTCAATGACACACTTTCAAACTTTATCTTTATCTCAGCCATAAAACATGTACATTGTAATGCCATGTCATGGCAAATGTAAATTTATTAGTTTGAGGTAAATTATAATTTAAAAGACTACTGTTATATTAAAACATTAACACATTTTAATGGTGGTGTGTCACTTTTTAATGTTTCTATAGGAATGATTTGTTTATAAAATTTCTAAAATGTACTAACAATCTTTTTCTTATCTTACTTTAAAACTTCCTACTGAACATTGAATGTCAAATAATTAATGTTTTCTCGAAGGCTAGCAAAACTGACATGCTTTTAGAATATGAATTATAAGTTACGTTCATCACCAGAAAAACAACTGTAAAGTATCAGCAGATATAGTAATAGTTCATTCTGTACTAATTTTTGTGACACATTGCTGGATAAAATAGTACACAACATTTAATATGAAGATCAACTATCATAATTAAATAAATTATTATGCATGATATGTATGGCCATTGCTGATCACAGGTTGATTCCTGGTTGGCATGTGCCAGCCTCATAGCCAGTGTAACCATGTTGATATATCAGACAATTCAAAGAATGCATACATCCATTGCATTCCATTGTACATACACAATTAAATATTAATAAAATAGAAAACAAACATGTTTTTAGTTAACCTATTTATTCAGTCTTAATAAATGTTTGGTGAAATTTTTAAAATTTGGTGAAATATTTAAAAACCTTAAGGTAATATTTGGCCTGAAACACTGTTTTCCTACCTGTTACTCATACTCCTTAAAAGTACATGACATTTTCTGTAATAAATATTTATCCACATCTACTCCATTGCAGTCTGGTTACCATAGTACAGACTCTAAGGAGTTTAGGACTAGACGGCCGTGTGGGAGATGTGTTAAGTTATTATTGTTGTTTGTTAATTTTGTAAATTGTATTACAGTAAAAGATTGGCTGGCTTTGATTCCACCTACTGCAGTTGTAGGTGGAATATCATACTACTCGTATCAAACAATTAAGAAAGCTCGCGAGGCTGACAATGGACAGATAAATCCTGGTATTCGAAAGGATATCAATAAAGTTGTGGATTTTATAGACATTGAAGACATCACTGAGAAGGCCGCATTATGTCGCTGCTGGAAGAGCAAAAATGTATGTAATTGTTTTAAATTAATCTTGAAAATATATTTTAGGATTAGGTGGATGAGTGGTCTTAGTTTATTGAAGTTTAATGTTTTATTATTAATTTTACTATACTGCTAGTATTCTAATAGGAACAAGAACTGAAAAAAATGTGGTACTTCAAGGTTGTCTATCTGTTGTATAAATAAATCAGCCAGCAAATAATTTACTCGACATTGTACTGTTGTTCTAATATTTATCTAACATTATATAACAGCCTCCATATTTATTATCACTCTAGTATCAATTTAGCTTGTGGCGTTATCTGATAGTGTGTTGTATCTTTTTGTTATTTTCATCTTATTAATTTTTTATATTTTTGTAGTGGCCTTACTGTGATGGTTCCCATGGCCAGCATAATAAAGAAACAGGTGACAACACTGGTCCAGTGGTGGTGAGGCACAAGGAAAATAAGTGATCATTGAATACTAAAAGGGTGATAGACAAATTGTGATTATATTTTAATTTATGTCCACAATTGTTATTTAAAAATGAATTAATAATAGATAAGAGTTACCTTATAAAATGTAAGAACAAAAATATTGTTAAACTACTTTTTTTTTTGGATTATGTTACCTTTTTTAATGTTTTTTAATGGTTTTTGTCTATCTTGTTATTTGTTATACAAGTGACTAAAACATAATCACATTTGATATTATTGTTAGATTGAGAACTCTGATCAATAAAATTTTGAAATGTTTAAAAATTGATTTTTATTTTCCCATATAACTGAGGGGCCATCCATAAATTACATCACATGATTTTCATGGTTTTTTGATCCCAACCCCAGTCTGTCACAGCTGGTCAAAATTGTGTAACCCCTACCTAGTGTGAAGTCACTTATTTTGCAAGTTTTCATCTAGAAACTAATAAATAAAAACAGCAGTTCTAAAATTTGTTTCGTTTCCACCATAAATCAAACATTAAAAAATTGACATTTAATGAACCATTTGAAAAAAATGTTTTTTAATACTTAAAAAAACTACCTAAAAAGTTAGAGATTAGTCGTCACAAAATAAGAAGCCCGTTTTGGCGTTTCTCATTTGACATGCTGCGATAACTTTGTATGAACGTCTATGTAAGAAATTGAAAAATCAAATTCATAATCCTATTCAATTACTATGTTACCCATACACAATCACAACGCGTATCATAAATAAGTATCAATTTTAACTTTATATTGAAGAAATGCACTCAAAAACACGAATTAATCGTGGATTAATATTCCGACAGGACTTTACTACAATGTCATGTCTTTGGGTTGGTCGCCGTAGTGTTGTAACCGTTAAAAAACCGTTTTATTGAAAAAAATAATTCATCCTCATTTTTCTGTCTCAAACGTCATGTCTCATTTTGCAACAGTCACATTGACAACAGTCCTTAAAAGTCAGTCTATAAAATAATTATCAAAGCCGTACATAATTTGTTTCCTTTCTCTATGTACCTATAGAATGGTTTGTCTATGACCAAGCGGCACGTGATCCATGCGCGTACCGCGTACTGCGCAGTCTTTCGTTCGACATCTTGTGAAGTTGACTGTGCGCTCGTTTATGTTTGAAATTTTTTCTAGACTCGGCTTTGCTTTTGGACTGTTTTTGTTTACTATCACGTTGACCTTGGCTCTTCTATTCCGGACATTGATTACACATAGCGATTTGGACTCGATTTTGGTGTTTGTTGTTATATTGTACAAACTTTGTTTCAACATGTCGAAAAGAGGACGTACAATCAACAGCCAATCACGCGAATTGGTTGTGAAGTTAACCGACTACTTCGAACTCGAATCAGATAATGGTGGACCATTATTACCCGTAACTCAAGTGCAAGATCGCGTAGCAGAAGCACTTGGAATTGGCAAAAAAACTATTCGAACCATTTTAAAGGAAAAGTATGGGTCTTCCGGTGTTGAAGTTATAGGATCTTTTATAATAGAAAATACACATGGAACTTTTCAATAATCTAATAATGTCAAAGTATTTTTACAGAGTGTCAGAAACAAAAAAAAAACTAGTAACCTGACAAAAGAAGAATAGGCCACACTCTCAAAGAGGAACTTTACAAAGCACCATAGAGTTTCTATTTCAACATCTTCTCTCTTTGTCAAGTTCAGCCAGTGTTTTCTCTTCCACTGAGCATTCCAATTTTTCCGCACAGCATTGTCAGCCTGGGCCTGAACAGCGGCTTGGTCATCATGTCAGCCAACTGCATCTCTGACGAAACTTTCTCCACTTTCAGCACACCGTCCGTTACAGCTTCCCTTATGAAGAAGTGACGAATCCTGATGTGTTTTGTTCGGCTATGAAACTCGTAAGGCGGGTTTCTAGCTAACTTAATTGCAGACTCGTTATCCACATACAGCACGGGTATATCATCTGTGTGTTGAATACTAGCCATCAAAACTTTCAGCCACATTATTTCCCGAGCTGTCTCACTCGCAGCAACAACTTCTGCCTCGGTACTTGATATAGCAACAGACGCCTGTCTGTGGCTTTTCCAGGCAATTATCCCTTCAGCGTACATGCAAACCATTCCTGATGTGGACCTGCCTGTTTCTAAGTCCCCACCGTGGTCTGAATCACTGAAACACATTAGTTTTTATCAGAGTTTCTTCTGTAAGTCAATCCCCAGTTCGTAGTTCCTTTCAAATACCTCAGGATTCTTTTCACTTTAGTAACATCTTGATTCGATGGGTTATCTAACTTTCTAGAAGCAACTCCAACAGCATAGGCAATGTCGGGCCTGGTTCCGACAATGAGATAAGCCAGAGCACCTACTGCTTGTCTGTATGGGAAATTAGATATTCTTTCAATCTCTTCTGTTTCCGTAATCGTATCTTTGATAATTGGTGTTCCAACCGGCTTACACTCATCCATCCCAAATCGCTCCAATATTTTCTTTGTGTAGGCAGTCTGATTCAACTCAATCGATCCATCTACTCTTCTTGTTATCTCTAAACCAAGGTAGTAATTTGCAGGCTTCGATTTAATCTTGAACCTTTCTTTCAGCTCACACAAGAACTTTTCTAATTCTTGTTTATGAGTAGATGCAAGCAGACCATCATCCACGTAAAGAGCCAGTATCAGCTTCTTCTCTTCTCTCTTCCTTACGAAGAGGCATGGATCTGCTTCACTCTTCTTAAATCCAACTTTCACTAGAAAGTCTTGCATGCAATTATTCCAGCATCTAGGGGCTTGTTTAAGTCCATAAAGGCTCCTCGTTAACTTGCATACTAAGTTTGGTTGATCGTTATACCCTTCTGGTGATCTCATGAAAATCTCCTCTCTAAGACTTCCGTATAAGAAAGCGGTGGATACATCGAATTGCATCAAATGCATATTTTCTCGTGCAGCCACACTTAGGATAGTCCTAATCGTACTCATTTTCGCTACAGGGCTGAAGGTTTCGTAATAGTCCACACCCTTCTTTTGAGAATACCCTTTTAGCACCAGTCGCGCTTTATAACGTTCTATGCTTCCATCTGGATTTGTCTTTACTTTGTAAATCCGTTTACATGGTATAGCCTTTCTTCCCTTAGGTAAAGGTACCATTTCCCAAGTTTCGTTTTCTTTCAACGACTTCATTTCATCATTCATAGCTATTTTCCACTTTTCCTTATCTTTGGATTTCATAGCTTCTCTGAATGGTTGAGGTTCTTTTACATCACTCAACTCTGCAACTGTCATCATCACAAAATCATCAAATTTTTGAGGTGCTCTCAACGTTGAACGATCTCTTAGTCTCATACCTTGCTCTTCCTCTGGTTCTGCATTTGGATCCTTCTCTATTTCTGGTTCTACCTCTTGCTGCAACTCTGGTAAGACTTCTTCATTTTCAACCTCACTTTCTATATGTTCAGAGCCACAATCTTCGAATCTTTCATCATCACTGGGCTCTTCTCCATCATTAACTCGATCAGCTGTATCTGGTTTTACAAGTTTAACTATCGCTTCTGGGATTTCTATTTTACCGATAAGACCTTTCTGGACATTTGGTTCTTGAGTACTCTCCTTCGTCTCATCCTTAGACTTCAAAGGCTTTTCTTCAAACGTTACATCTCTGGATCGAACTATTTTGTTCTTCTCTTTAACCCAAATTCTATAACCCTCGTCATTATCGTAACCGACCAGCACACCTTTTATAGCTTTCTTGTCCAGCTTCTTTCTCGTTATTTTAGGAACGTGTGCATAGCAAATACTGCCAATTACTCTCAAATGCTTAATCCTGGGCTTCTTGTTGTACCAGATCTCGTACGGTGACTTGTCTAGTGGAGTAGGGCTCGTTCCATTCAGTATGTACACTGCGGTATCCACTAACTCAGCCCATAGACTTTCAGGTAAGTCATTTGCATGCATCATCGTTCTCATTGCTTCCACAGCGGTTCTATTATCTCTTTCTACGCATCCGTTTTGGTTTGGCGTGTGTGGCATTGTCAATCTTTGCTTTATGCCATACGACTCCAATATTCTTCTCACATTTCCGTTATCAAATTCTCCTCCATTATCACTAAATAGCTCTCTTACTGTATGTCCTGCAGTCTTTGCTTCAGCTAACATCACTTCAAGCTTCTTATGAACTTCTGATTTCTCTCTCAGAAAGTAGATATAGCGGAATTTGCTGAAATCATCTTTGAAGAGTACAAAATACTTGTATTTGGATAAAGAGTTGGTGAACGGCCCGCATACATCTACATGTATTAGCTCTCCTGGTTCAGAAGCTCTTTCTCTTGTTTCAAATTTCAACTTATGTGCCTTACCATATACACAACCCTCACATAGTTCTTTGTCTAGCTTCATCTTAATGCCAAGTTCTCTCTCAATCACCTTCTTCACATGTGATTTGCTCTGATGAGCCAACCTCTCGTGGTAAAGCTGCAACTGATCCTCTTTTGAAATGTTGTTGACTTCATTTGGACACTCAGATCTGATATTTCTGACTTTCAGCTTAAAAAGACCTCCATCTTTTTCTCTTTCTCCAATGAGTAACACTTTTCCATGCTGTAACAGTTTGCATTCTTCGGTTGTAGACATGAAAAGGCTGTTTGACATCTTATCTTGAGCTGACAGTACTGAAAATAGGTTTTTCTGTATTGTAGGCACATACCATATCATCATAAAGTGCTATCTGTTCATTACGACCCTTTACATCAGCTTCTATGTATACAATTCCTTTCCCAACTGCCTTGATTGTATCTCCATTAGCTGTCGTAACGGTGTGTGAAGTGTGAAACCTCTCAAATGTCTGGAATAGATCCTCCCTGTTCGTGACGTGGCTTGTAGCTCCGTTGTCCATATACCAGTGATCTTTATCAGCAGAATAATTTGGATTCACTGCCATAATATGCATATTCGCACTCATAGTAGGTCCTTTTGACTTAGATGTTAATGGTTTTGGCTTAGGTGGTCGTCCATCGGATATCCA